TCCCATATGCTTTGGGTATAGGATCGATTGCAAATGCAATAATATTTGACCATTATAAAATGTTCCGAATGTCTAGCGCATTAAGAGGGAAAAAGGACTAGAATCGGTTTTGACTAAAATAATTAAACAACTATCAAAGGACGCTCCAAAGTTCGCTGAGGATTGGTCGCTTGTGAGTAGTTGGATGTATGGTATTGGACGTGCCATATCAACATTATTATGAATAGATAAGATTCTATTAAGAATGAGTTGTCATATGGAAAATATGGAAATGTTTCCATATTGGGAGTTGGAAATTGAGAGACTATGTCTAGATTAGAAAATTTTTACGCAAGAAGGATGTTCTAAGGAATGTACTTTGAATGTGAGACTTCACGTCTATGGAATTGTCTTGTAACAACTTCCGATAGAGTACTTTGTAATTTCATTGGCTAAGTCTTGGTGACTTTTGTGCTATGACTTTGCGAAAGGATCATTGCATAAAATGTTAGAATCTAGCATATTCTAGTAGTGGCAAGAACCTTGTGTTCTAACAATAATAATAAGGATTGGGAATTGTGAAATGAGCATCATTGGAAAAGTTTTTCAATTGATCTATTTCACAAAGTAAGGACCATAGGAAACATAGTGTGCATGCTTTGTGAATGGGATATCTATTGTTGTAATTTGAGTAATAAGTTGATTTTCTGAAACAATAAACGATGAATAATGAGTAATCAATATGGTGTTTAAACAAAATTGTATTATTTACTCCCACAAGTTTGGGGCCATATAGGATTAAGTATTATTGTTGTGCTTTAGTTTTCATGTTTTGACTTCCAGAATAACTAGGTTATTTAAACCTCCATAGTAGATCATAAGTTGGAAGTAGGTATGAAGGAAGACTGTCATGAAGAGTCTGCAGATTGTCTAAAGAGTTTAGACATAGCACAAGTTTGGTGTAGAGTTCATGAGTGCTTTAATAAGATTAAAGTATTGGATTAAACGCACGCTCACAAGAATCACTTCATGGATTTCATCACGAGTGATTGTGAGTCGATAATATTGTATATTCTTGAAACCGAGACGTGTGAGTTGTTATTTGCTGGTCGGTTGCACATTGATGATAAGCAAACTCACCAGTAACTTGGTGTTAAAAAACTTATTATTGTGTGTGATTCGATGAGTGAGTACAAGCGAGCATTTGAGTCAAATTTTATCCATTCCTTTTACCCAAAGTAGGATAAAAGCGATATTTGTGGGCCCCTCAATGAGTTAGTGATGACACCTAAGCGCTTGGCCAAGTCGGGACTAAGTTGATGTGTTCAATTGTAGTTTGTTGTCAGTCGTCATAAATCGGAAGTCAGGAAACAGTATAGAGAGAATTATTCAAATTCATGTCTTGTGTCTATACGATATCTTGAGAATGGAGGAATATATGATCCCTTTTCTAAAGGACACGCGTATCTGATAAGATCAGAGTTGACAGCGGCTTTTCAAAGCTACGATTGCCAATCAGGTTCTGAAGTTATGCAAAATAGTTATTAGACTTATCCAAGTCGGAGACTGATGTATTAGTGTCTAAGTCCATAACTATTTTGGTATCTACATGACCCGATTATGAGCATGGTCCATTTGGGTTGCCTTCACCATAGCAATATGTAGGATGAAATAAGGAGAGAATGGCTTAGTTATGATTTATTAATATATTATAAGAATAATATATTAAAGTAGAAATCATATTGTTTAATTAGAATTAGTCAAGAATTAATTAAGAATTAATTTTGTGGATAAAAGAGATTACTTAAACTTAGGGGCTGGAATTGTAATTATAAAATAATTGCAATTGGGCTATGGATCACCTTGGAATAATAGGTTGGACGAATTCTATGGGGAAGCCCATTAGAAATGTCCAAGGCATGTTCCAGAAGGGGTCCATGGGCTGCTTAGGGCTTAAGAAGTCAAATTAGGGTTTCCTTGTTTGATAACCCTAATTGCCTAACTATATAAGGAACCCTTAGGCACCAAAAACGTGGCTTACACTTCCTTTAGGGTTTCCAGGCGTTTTGGAGTGCCTCTTCTCTTCTCAGAATCATTCTTGTTGCCCTTGGTGTTTGTGACTCCATTAGAGGTGTAACACCTGAGGCACTAAGCTTTCTGAAGCCAAGGAATTGATTGTTATTGCTACATAAAAATCAAGGTAAGATCTAAACCCTAATTCATATGTTAATTTGATTACTAGTATGCTAGATCTAGGGTTTGTAACTCTTGGAAGTTTACTGCATGTTCAAAGTAGAAAAACTAGATCCAAGCAATTAGGGTTGCATGAACGCCATAGGGTTGATGTTATACTCAAAACCCATCAATAAGAACCAAAATTGCAACCTTATACCTTTAGGGACAACAATGAAGATATAGAAAAAAAATATATGATTAATATCCTAAGTGTAGCAACTAGTTATGTGGATTTGAGAGAGAGAGAGAGAGAGAGAGAGAGAGAGAGAGAGAGAGAGTAACACACATGACTAGTCATCAATATGGAAAAAAATGTGGTAGTCTAGTAATGGATTTTGGTACAAAGGGTTTTGCGTTCTTAGGTTGTATTGTAGTATTTGCATTTGCCAAATTTTCCCATTGGGTAAAAGGTTTAATGTATATATCTTGTTCACGTAGGTTGATACCAATGTACTTAACATGTATTCATTCTATGGATTATTTGTTATTTTAGGTTAATACTAAGAAACTTATCATGAATTCATTATAATTTATATTCTTTACCTTTATGGCTTTATCAAGTACCCAAATTCTAATTTTCATTCTAATGAAAACAAAGAGGTGGTAAGATTAATACTTGGAGCTTATAGATACTCATGACATAAATCACCAAAATATAATATCAAGACACTTAAATAATACTAAAATACATGAGAAATATGACCTCACTGACAAAATTACAAGACCAAGAATCCTCTTACTTTGCATTCAAAAGCTTCTCACTTGCAATGTATAATAATACCCTCGACCAACAGAACAAACTGCAAAATTTACAGCGACAATGAAGTCAAGAGGATTACATTAGTATTTACAAGTTATATGATTTATTTATGAAGTGAAAGATAAAATGTCAAAGACTAACCTAGAACCTTCAGTCTTTATATTGAAATATACTTCATATTCAAGGCCAAAGTTTTGCATAACGAAGTGTTCATTAGCAAAAAACATATAAAGTGGCCTAAATGACAACAAAAGTTCACTAGTGGACAAAACTTTAAGGCTTTTAACATGGAAACCAGTCCTATATTGCTAACTTTATCATAAACACTTGACTTGAGATAGATAATATTTGTCTTTATTATGACAATTTTATGGCATGAATGAGTAGGACACCAAATTCGGTTCCGAATTCCTCAAAAAACCTTATAGATTTCAAAGTTATTTATTCCCTAATAATCCCTACAGACTTCAATGTTTCAAATTTCTCAAAACACCCTGCAGAGTTCAAAGTTCCAAATCCCCCCAAAAGCCCTAGAAGTTTCAAATTTCCAAATTACCCAAAACACCTTACTGAATTCAAATTCCCATATCATCCAAAACGCCATGCAGATTTCAAAGTTCCAAATTCGCCAAAACACCATGCAGAGTTTAAAGTTCCAAATCCCCCTGAAAACCTTGCATGCTTCAAACTTCCAAGTTACTCAAAATGTCTTTGCTAAATACAAAATACCAAATTCCCCAAAATACCCTGCAGAGTTCGAAGTTCCGAATCCTCCATTTAGCATCGCAGATTCCAAAGATCCAAACTCCTTGAAAGCCCTGCAGATATCAACTACACAAGTTAAAAAGGAAGATATAGAAAGGTTGGTAGTATATGTACTTTTATTAAACTACGTGATTATAGTAAAAGGTACATATGTCAAAAATGCTCTTTAAGTTATAATCTCTTTTGGGAAATCGATCCAGGTGATGAAGGTCTACTTCTGGAATTACACCAACCACAAGTACAAGTCAATGATCCCCACAGATCAAGAAAAACTCAAAACCCAAAACTAAAATTCAAGTTGATCTTTAATTGTAATTTTATACCTCTTAAATCACATGATTAGAATTAAAGACATTGTACCTTAAAATTTTATTCTCTAAAATACCTACATTATCCTTCGTGGGTTGTGCTTAGCGCAACCTATAAAACATCACTAACATTGTACCTCATTCTCAACCTTTTTTTTTAACAATTGAACACTCATATATATATATATATATATATATATATATATATATATATATATATATATATATATATATATATATATATATATATATATATATATATATATATAGGCTTAGGTGATTCTATAAAAAGTAATTATTGCATTATTATATGCATAAATGTGGGACAATCAAATTCACGTATTTTAAGAAAGTGATTGATATATATATATATATATATATATATATATATATATATATATATATATATATATATATATATATTATTGAATTAAATATAATTGAAAATATCATCTTAATTCATTACAAGGGTAATTTAGTCAACTAATATAGATTTAATAAAGGAAATTGCATTTTTTAAGGGATCATAGATCTATTAATTTTAAAAATATGATTTTGCGAATTATAATTCTTTTAATTCGAACATTCTGACAGAATATATTTATGAGTATATTGAAAAATAAAAATATTCTTGAACCATAAATAATAAAAATATTCTTGAACCTATTTCTTGATTATGAATTTAAAAATTTCTTGTAGAATAACATATTCTTGAACTATCAATTGAAGCATAAAAACAAAAAACACATTATTTCTTATAGAATACGGGTAACAATTGTTAAGAATTACATTTATTGTTAAAGAATAAAACTAAAAAACAATCAAAACGGGAAAGAAAACATTAAAATCTAACAACGACTAATACATTCTAAAAGAATAATGTGGTCCGTTTCAATTTTGTGGTCTGTTCTTCAAGCATCAACTTCTTTGATTCCAACAGAATTGGAATTCGTCATTCCATTCCAATAGAATTGGAATTCGTGATTCCATTCCAATAGATTTGGAATCTGACCAATATCATCCATTGAATCATCTACATAAACAGCATTGATACCTTTTCATAATTCAACCTTGTCAAGATCATGCACTGTCCACGTAAATGAAGTGTTAAATCGGGAAAAAAAATTCGAATGAAAAGCAAATTAATTATTTACTATCAAAAGAATCAGAAAAAAGACAAGCCATTGAGATGATCAAACCTTTACAACAAGAACTTACGCTCCTTGAATTGACTCTTCACTTTTACCATAATTTCCATTCGGCTTCTTGAATGCCTTTCAATTTGAGCTTCCACCCATATGAAAGGCTTCACCTGAGTGCTAAGTCGATATGTCATCAGGTCAAATGCTCCATCAGGAGGCACAAATGATATTATTCTGGTGGAACTTAATGGCTTATCCCTTTGTAGTTCGTCCTTGTGCCTCCAATATTTCTTTGATGTTTTTCAAACAAGTGGAGAGGTTTACTGTGAAGGGTTTAACAGCACCTATCTTTTCTAGCTAGAGTTGGACTCTTCTGTTGGGCCAAAAGCCGATAGCTTATGAAAAAGTGTTTGCTGTTAGCTTATACTTTCTTCCTTCTTGCCATTATTTGAACTGATGTTTAAGACTGGTGGATTCAAGTATAGGATTATTTGAGGTACATAAAGATTTGGTGGCAATCCAATATTGATTTCGTGTAGTGCGATGCAAGTGTGCAACAGCCACGATATGAGCAACCATGAAAATGAATTCGATACTTCGAGATTGGAGATGTGACTCATGAAATACAAAATGCTTACTGTTGTTACCTGAGTTAGAGACATGAAACCCCAAGTGCAAATTAGATATCAAAATCTCATATAGAAACAACTCCATAGAAAAAAAAAATGCTCATTGGGGACTTTCATCAAACAGGTAGCATGCATATATTCTATTGACTAGTTTCGAGTAGGAACAAAAGGTGCTTTTACGTACCTGGTTAATGGTGGTGCAAAACGAAAAGCGGCTGGAAGAAAACATTGTTTTCGCCTGATTCTCTTCGCGTATTTGTGAGTGGGTCGTATAGCATAAAACAACCCGCCTGACGGAGGAAGTTGCTGATTTTGGTGATGGAGCGTTGTATATGGAGGAGGTGGTTTAGAGAACAATAGAGTGACAACAGAGAATAGTAGACGGCCGTGAGGCGCCGAAGAGTAGACGCGGTCGAGCAGACGAAATTCACAGACGAGAGGACGGTGACAGAGTTGAAATCTAATTTAGGGTTGCGTAAATACAAACGATTTTATTCCGCTTATTAGTTGCTAAAAAAAAGATTAATGCTGTTATTTATAGTGAAAGATAGAGTGTTTAAAATTTTAAAATTTTAAAATATGAAGTCAATGGTTACCATAATTATAGAAAATTATTTGTGGAAACTAATTATCAAATCACCTTTTTACCCTTATTTATTTATTTAATTATTTATTTATGTTTAAAAATTTTATTGGGCCACGTTTATGCATACAATAACAACAATACTTACTTAAATACATAAATAAGGGTAAATAGGTAATTTGATAATTAGTTTCCACAAATATATATATATATATATATATATATATATATATATATATATACACACACACACACACATAGAGAGAGAGGGAGAGGACGAGGAGGAGGAGAAGGGTTCAATTGTGAAAAAAAAAGGTTAGAGAATGGGAGAATCATTCTGAGAAGCACATTTATTTTGCCGCAAAACACTTAGGCGTTTCGATGGAATGGGTAACGGATACACATGTGTTTTCTATCCAAACATGTTTCCTTAAATTATGCTAATCATTACCTTAATATACACAAAAACATATTTCTTTTTTTTTTTTTTTTCGATTTTTATAATGCTATTTTTATCGAAAATTTATTGTTAATATATTAAAATTCAGAATTTCTTATTCTTTATAAATAGACATCAACATTGATATAGTTTTTACATAAAATATAAAATTATCTTTTTTAGAGTTTCAATTATCGTTATTCATAACGTAATAAAAAACACATTAGAATTTTATTACAACACATTCGTTATTTAGTTATGAATAAAGCACATGCTTAACTTTTTTTACAGTTTAAATATCGTTTATATATGAATAACACATTCGTTATTTGCTTATGAATAAAGCACACGCTTAACACATAAGATTTTACATCATCTTTCGTCACATGTTATATATATATAAAACGTGTATTAAGTGTCGTCGTATATTATATTCATATACTACGTGTGAGACCCGTGTACGACACAAAGTTATTATAAGAAATGAATATTTGCATTTTTATCTCTTAATAGCATCATACTTTCATTTGTATCACATAATACATTATGATGCTATTAAGGGATAAAAAGGCAAGTATGAACTATTATGGTGTAAAAACGAAATATGAATTATTATGCTATTACACAAATTCACAAACAAAAACAACAATAGGGGAAATCTGGCGAGTCGATTTTACAATTAGAGTAATTTGAGGTTTACATAAATATTAAATAATTATGTTATTTAAAAACTACAAAATCATAAAACTAAACCGACATATAACTCTATAATGTTAAAAATAAATAGTTTATAAAGTAGAATGCTATTACATTATGCACATCCTGTAAAGTTGAATTGTTTAATTTCATTTATGAAATGTAGAATAAAAAGAACGATTAAATGCAAAATTATAAAGTAGAATGCTATTACATTATGCGTATCCTGTAAAGTTGAATTGTTTAATTTCATTTATGAAATGAAGAATACAAACTACGATAAAATCTAAAATTATGACTTAGTATAAAGTAGTTTTTGTTGCAATTTGAGTATTTTATTAAAACAAACATATTTATTACAATAAAATCATAAAACTCTATTATATTGGAGTAAAAGAAAGCTAATATGTGCTATAAAGAGAATATGTGTTATAAAGTTTATTTTTTATTTGCTTTTTTTTTTTGCATTTTTTAAGTAAAGATGTATGAATTCAAGGGCAAACCAAGAACACATAGCAAAACTTGAAAAACTGAATAGAAAAAACCAAATGCATTTTCAACAAAACAATCCTAATAACTTAATAAAGGTAATTCAAGCCTAATAAAATAATGTCAAATAGTTCCAACCATCAAAGCAAAACAAACCCACACAAAGAAAAAACAAAATTTGAAATAGTTTTAAAAAGGAGAATGCACTTAAAATATGCAATTGGTTTTAAATGCTTAAAGATACATTTATTTCTCGAGTTTTGGAATCAAAAGCTCCATTTTACCATGTCACAAAAAGCCATCATCCATGATAGTTGAACGCACTTTTGTCGATGACAATGCTGGTGGGTCATCAACATCGTAAACTTCAAAAAGATTGCGCTTTAGCTCTGCATTAGGGATGAGGGAGTCATTCCCTCCCAACCCATTGAACTCACTGCCACATCACATTTTCTGTTTTATTTTTCTTCATCTTTCCCAACGCACAACACACATAAACCCTATCTTTTTAAACTCACTCAACCCATTCAATTAAAAATAAATACAAAAGAATCAAAGGTAAAATCTTAATTATCAATAGAGTTACCGACGGTACGACTCCCGCTTCAATGGGTTGGTTAGTTATTTTCACTAACCCACTTCATCATCTCTCTCTACTTTCTCTCTTTCATTTTCTCTTATACCATGTGTTTTAAAACTTGTACTGTAACATCCCCAAAAAAATGACCCAAAAATTTTTGTTGAATAATTACCAAAACACCATAATAAAGTCATAAGGTAAACTCGTACGTCAATATCTCACAAACAAAAGTAAAATGTTATAAGTAAACTAAATCAAGAATGTATCAGTCACATCAATGAGAATCAAAACAACTCCCAAGACAACTGAAGTTGTGGTGTGTGTGTGCGATGCCATCAACTCGAGCTGTTCCCTTTGCTTGCGGAAGTACCTGAAACCAAAACTGAAACTATAAGCACGAAGCTTAGTGAGCTCCCACAAACTACCACATACCATATAATACATATAATCACATACTGGGCCTTGCCCACTGCATCGGACCGAAGTCCGGAAACTGCATCGGACCAAAGTCCGGAACTAACCAAGGCCTTGCCCTCTGCATCGGATCGGGATCCGGAACTACTGAGGCCTTGCCTCCTGCATCGGACCATAGTCCGGAACTACTGCATCGAACCGAAGTCCGGAACTGACTGCATCGGACAGAAGTCCGGAACATACTGAACATAGCATCACATAAGCATATCAACTAACATGAGTACATAGATAGCATACTACATCGGGATGTAACCCGAAACACATAACACAAAATACTGTCTGAGCCACGAAGGCATCAAACATACTCGAATCTGCATTGACCCGAAGTTCGGATACTACTGCTAGCTAAATGGGCCGGCATTGTGGCCTTAGACCCGTTCCTATTGAAAGGAAACTCACCTCGTGATCTGGCTGCTGAGTGTGTGGCTCCGGGAACTATCTGCTGCCGCTCCGGTATCTCCCCGGCTACAAATCCACAATTACACTCAATCAAATTATTAATAACTGTATTGGGTAAATGACTCCTTTACCCCTGGCTAAAGTCAACTCTCCTGGTCAAAGTCAACTTTACAGTTGACCTGACTCGCCGAGTTGGGCCGCCAACTCGCCGAGTCCCTACTCTCATTTCTCAACCCTACTCGCTGCTACTCATCGAGTATGGCATCAACTCGACGAGTTCCCTTTCGAATCTAAAACTTCAGGCAATCTGCATCAGACTCGCCGAGCCGTATGAACAACTCGACGAGTTGTTCTTCGAGCTAAGAAGATTGCCTTGGACTCGCTGAGTTGTATGAACAACTCGCCGAGTCCCTCCATTACTGAGTCTAACCACAACTCGTTGAGTCCACTCCATCACTCACTGGTCCCACTCGGCGTCACTCAAAAAGGGAAAAATCGGGGACTCGCGGCTCGACTCGCCGAGTCGCTTGCATGCAGCAACTCAAAACTTGATTCTGCTTGAATCCAGTGCATAAAACTTATAGATCTGGACTCCCTTAACTCGATTAGTACGTAAAGATTCTATCTTTACGTGCCCATATGCATCCATGAAAATAAAATGGCTCAAAAAGCATAATAAAGGCTAGATCTAGGGTTTCCATGCAAAGTATCTTCATAAAGGCAATAGATTTGGGCTCTGAAACTTCTAAATGAATAGAACTAAGGATATCTCGACTTATTAGGGCATCCATACAATCATAAGGCTTGGGAAAAACATCAACTAGATCTAGAAGAGTCCTAATGGAGGTTTAAAGCATAAAACAAGAGGGAATCTGAAGAATACCTCAAAGAACTCTGATTTGCCCTTGGATCTTTGCACTACTCCTCTTCTCCTTGCTCCTTTCTTCTTCTCCTTCTTCAAGCCTTCACAAATCAACACAAGAACACTTAGTTCACTCAAGGATGGATTAGGGTTTTCTCACAGCGTTCTGAGGGTGAAGGAGGCGAGAATGCGGGCTATAAGGTGGATTAAATAGTGAGCAAACCCGAAGATTTAGGGTTTCAACCTGGCAGGCCGACTCGCCGAGTCCCGAATATGGACTCGCCAAGTCGCCGATCTATACGCTGATCAACAACGCGACCCTACTCGACGAGTCGGGACATAGACTCGCCGAGTTCCTCTACGAACTTCAAAAATAAATACTAAAAAACCACATACCAGAGACGGGTCGTTACATGTACCTTAGTTGTTCTTGTACTTTTTTAATTGAGTGCGTTGAGTTGGTTGAGAAAGATAGGATTTTTGTGTGTTGTGGGTTGATAAAGATTAAGAAAAAGAAGAGACAAAACTTGATGTGACAGTGGGTTAGGAGGGAACGACTCCCTCCTCCCTTAGGAGATACAACTTTAGAAAGACGGTATTTGGCCAATGGACTGCTCGCTGTGCTTTTCTCAACATTAGAGGCCGAAGTGATATTATCTCCCGTGAATGATATTGCATCCTTTTTTAAATACATAAAAAATGTTAGTTAAGTAGTAATGCAAACGAAGTTAAATTTAAATTTAACTTTAAATGTAAAATAAATAGCACCTTAAAATTGGTAGTTTGTTGAGATGTGACTTCAAAGGTTGCAATGTTGAAAGATTCGGAATCAACATGCTGCAAATAAGAACATACTAACAATTGCTTAAACAATATAAATATTATAGGGATTAAATAAATTGTGCAAAATCGATACCTGGCCAATTGTAAACTTCTTTTCAAGTTCAGAAAGTATATTATAATCAGCAGTCAATTTTTG